ATATATATATTGTGGTAAAAAGCTTTCTTGGTTTCAACGTGTTGCTACGGGTTTCCAACTTACGGCATAAATACTCATCATCTTTATATTTTTCACAATTTTCTTGACCATCACATAGTTCATCTTCGTTTAAACTTGTAATAAATGTAAGTTTATCCCACCAATTTCCGGTACAGGATAAAGCATCTAAAAAAAATTCAATCAGAAAATGATCTATTAATATATAAACAATATGTGGAGTTAGGTGGCACATTCAGCTTGGCGGATTTGTAGGCCTATAAAATATAGATTTTGACAGGATGAGTAGAGGGAAATTTAAACGACATGTTGTTCGGACCAGATTTAGATGCTAACGTAAAGAAGGAAGGGCGATCAATGTTCTAAAACCCTTTAAGAATTTCAAAAACCTCAATGAGATTACCACCCTTCCTTCTTTCCTATAGTGTTGGTCGCCAAAGCTGAATTCTATGCTCTTCGTATAAAGGCACGTTTGTAAGTTCAGGCACAAGTTTTAGTTGAACGCTGTTGTAGGCCTACCTTCTCAAGTTTTATAATTTCTTGTTGTAAGTATGGAGGCCCCACTTGAGAGCTTACTCCGTGATTTACGTAACAGAGAGGTATAAAGCGATACAAACATCTGCTTATCCTTATAAGTATAAGTGTCCAATGACTGAGTTACCTTTCGCTGAGACTTTAAAAACTTATGTCAAAACTTCGAAATCGTAAACGTAAACTCGAAGATATTTCTTTTCACAGATTATTCTTTCCAATATGCATTACTTTGTATTTAGACTTATAAATTCAAGTAACCACTTCTTACTTCATTGTACCTATTTACTTAGATCTTGCTGACGACTATCTCTATCGCTGAAGGAGTCAATCTCGGCACCATCTGCGAATAATTCACCATTGGATTCAATTTATTCCTATAAAGCGTTGATATAGATCAGAAATAATAACGGACTAATCACTGTGCCTTGTGGGACGCCACTTAAATACAGGCAATCAACTTGAAGCAGAACCTTCAATAGAAACGCATTACCACCTATTCTCCAAAAATTCACTTATCCAGTTCTTTTCACTTAAAAACTTACCTTTGCTGCCATGAGACATCAATTTACATTTCAACCTAGCATGTGGAACCATACAAAACACCCTTCGGCAGTCAAAATTCATATAATCCATAGGGTGTTTATCTGCAATAGAATGTTCAACTTCACGAACATATTCGAGTAATTAAGTAAAACAACTTTTAGAATGAAATCCATGCTGATGAGTTGAAAGTAAGTCATTCAAGATGATACATATTTTTCTTTGCATCCTTCCAGACTGCAGGTATTTTTTCTGTCATCAAATATTTCCCAATTAATAACCATAAAGGATAAGACATGTTTTCACAGTACTATTTTAAAACTTCAGGACAGATACCATCAGGTCCTGGGGAAGAATATTCACGGAGACTCAGAAAAAAACCTTTTTACATCATCAACAGTAAAATGTGTGCATCAGTTAAAACCTCGCACTCAACTTCAATGGACATGGTTGGAATAACACAATATCTTCAATATTAATAACACTATGAAATGCCTCATTCATCAACTCACTTGCTTCCTGATTTGTAGAAGTAAATGATCCATCTAACGTATTAAGGCTGGGTACACCTTCCTTAATAGTAGTTTGACTACGAATGTAAGTTTAAAAAGTCTTCGGGGTTTTTTTGCGTTACACACAATATCCTTTTCGAATTTTGTTTCTCCTGAAATAAGCGAAGTGGCATCGTTTCTTGCCCTGCAATAATAGTTATACCTTTTGGTAGATCTATGCGTCTATACCGTTTTCATACTGCCTCTTTATGTTGAACTTTATTTAGTTTGTCATCCACTTATGTTTGTTGTTGCGGAGACTTGTGCTAATAACTCGTTGTTTGAACATAATCGTCTGTCAAACAGATTATCTTCGAATGAAAAATTCCCCAAATTTCATCAACTAATTTGTTCTCAAATAAGCATTTCCAATTTACATGTACATTCATAGAATCAAAATAACATTTGAAGAAATTAAATTTTGAATAGGCCTTATTACTAAAGTAAAGAAATCTTATAACAAGAAATCAAAAACATCGAAAAATGTATTTTATTGGAATAAAAGTAGGTGAAATCCCTACAAAAGAGAGAAAAAAAAATCAAAAACTAAAACTGCATGGTCGCTTTTGCCGACTGGTGCATCAAACCTTAAATCACATATCAAGTTTACTATTACCAAAAATCAAATCAAGAAAAGATTTTTCATCGTCTCCTCTTACACGAGTAAACTATGCAACATGTTGAAACAAAAGTAAGTCACAACTTCCAAAACTTTCTGTTGTTCGCTTGATTCACCATTTCGTGTAAACTTTCCCAATCGATACCTTAGAAATTAAAGTCACCTGAAATAAGCTTCTAATCAGTTTTGTAATCTCGAGTTTTCTTGTTATATTCGCTTGGAGAATTTGGGCTACCATATATACATGCAATGAAAGCAGTCTTGTCACCATGTTTTAGAATGCAATCAATGACCTTAATATACACTTCATCAATTACAATTTCTTTAACTACCGTATATACCTATGTACAAGGATTGTAACACCATGGGCGGATCCAGAATATTTAAAACACAAAATATTCAGAATAGATAAGTGAGTAGCATTACTTTCAATATATGCATTAAAATTAAAAAAATTATTGGCAAAACGGGGATGGGGCATATGCCAATAAAGATTAATTGTATTAGATAAACCATCAATAATCTTATAAATACATTTTAAATGTTTCAATTTAATGGATTTTGCGTTTGCAGTAATGGAACCTGGTGGTTTTTTTCTCCAAATGGGAGAGCTTTATCACTAGATTTTTTTTTTGTGTTATACTTCTATCAAATGTCCATATATCAAATGTTATGTGACAAAAAAAAATGTGATACAGTATGACCATATTTGGGTGTAATATGACATCATCATGCCCATATACGGGCACATCACACAAATAGAGCTTTAATGATTGGAAATAAAAATAACACTATTTGGATAGCCAAATTAATATAATCGTGGCGTCGGACGACAGGGCAAGATGGGGTGAAGAGTTTCCTTACCCACACCTCTCACTTGCGCCAACAATGCGAGGACAGTGTTAATAATGATGATGATGATGTGTGTCAAGATATAGTCGCGATCTTGGTTACATATGACGTCAAATTCTAAATACTGGACTTCTTAAACTGGTTGCAGCGTAACAGATTCTCTGACAAGGTTAATAAAGGTCCATGCCCGCCATAACAGACTTTTAAAGTAAAAGACACCTCCCGGATATGGCACGGATCTCTATCAAAAGGAAAAAGTGTTACATTGAATAATATTACTGGGCGTTATATTACGATATTTTTTATTGACATTTAAAAACTAAAATAAAAGTTCTTTTAAATGAAAAGAAGCCTAAAAGAATGGTGCTACGATAGATAATTCCTTTCAGATTTGTGCATCTGGGCGGTAAATTTAAACACTCATTTTCTTAATTGTATATGACTGTTAATTGTATGTCTTCATCAAAAGTAAACGCATGGATAAAGGGAAGTAGGATACAATCCAACTGACTGACAAGAATGAGAATACTGTACAGAAAAAACATCAGAATTTACCACGCAAGTGTGAGTGTTTATGTTATGCATTAGCGAATAATTGTTTAATTTTAGAGATTGTTAGCACCTTATTGATCCAATAATTGTGGCAAAGAGAAGCCAAACCTAGCAAATCATGTTTCGGAGAAAATTTCAAAAACATGTTGGAATGTCAAAATTTTCAAAATCTATTTTATTGCACTCACTTGAACTTAACATATCTGTACATCATTTTCAATGTTAAAAAAACATTTATTTACGATTTGGTGATTGTCTCTGCCTGAGAAATTGTAAACTTTAAAGGCTGATTTCTCGAATACTGTTCTTTAAACAGCTGTATGTTTAGACTCCTGTAGCTTCATAACGAACTGTAGCATTTTAAATGATTCTTTTACCATTTTTTTAACTTTACTGTTTATTAATCACTAATCAATGTATCATTATACTGTACTAGATAATACCATGGAGGAATAATTTGATTCCTCCATGATTATATTGCATTAGAGGGTGTGCTCGTTTCGCTCGCTTACAAGTGGTGGCACCAGGGGTGGGGGAGAGGAATTTGCTACCCACCAGTCGGACAGGACCCCCTCTCGTCCGACGCCACGACGAGATCGTCGGATCAAAAATTAACAAAATAATAATTCCCCTATCCAGATAACGTTATTTTGATTGCCAATCCCAAATGTTGTGGTCTAAAAGCACAATTTGACCATATAAGCCATAAAAACTCTCAGTTAATCTACAAAGGATTTTTTATTCTGGGACCCCGACCTAGGATCTTGGCTTGGACCTCTCCGTCGGACATGTAGGACCCCTTATTGGCAAATTTCTGGTGCCACCGCTGTCGCTTATTTGCTAGTATGTTAACGCCACGATTAGTTTCCATAAAAAATATGACCACTGTTAGGAGATAGGTTGCATTTACCATGTTATCTCGCTCAGTTATTTTCCTTACATAATGTTAGAAATGTAGTGGTAAGGTCATTTGTTAATGGTTGACAAAGCATGCTTCATGGATTTAGACAATTGGAGTTGAGTTCAGGTACAGGTTTTGATAGCAGTTCCATATCATTTTTTATAACATAAAAATATTTAGAAACACTAAAATGAGATGAGACAGCATTGGTCAGGGACAATGAGGTGTCAACTAATTCTAATTGATTATTGTTTCCAAAAACATAAAATATGTACCTTACCTTTCTTATCGATAGCTGTAACCTCTGCAGAGAATCCTCTCTTCATGTTGACTATATTGTGGCTTTTGAAAATCACAGAAGCCCAATTTAGGACTGTAAAAACTTCGATATCATTCGTCACTTCACGTTTGTAATATTCATAAGGATTATGTTTGGAGCTAAGTTGAAGATGATCAAAATCCTCGGCGAGATCGACATTTGTAAATTTGAATTTGATTCTGGTAGACCGTGGAGATGTTATCAGCCAGACACAATAGGTGTTAGAAGGAAAAGCCAGTGGATAGTTTGGAGATGTGAATTGAAACACTTCACCAACGTTTAAGTAAATGTTATATGAGCAGCCTATATATAAACAAAAATCAGACGGTAATTAAAACATAAGCCTATAGGCCCAATATTCCAGATTTTATATAGTGTACCATGACAAAAAGGCCTCTATCATAAGTAGGCCCGTTGTCACCTGGCCTGTTATCATCTAGCCTTTTGCCACCTGGCAAGAAAA